AAGAAACAAGATAGAGTTGGTTAGGTCAGATCTCTTTCACTATCTCAGTTACAATTTTGCAATGGCCGTTTAAAAAATCATACAGTTATGCAAACTGATGCCACTGCAAATTCATGTTTTCTAATCTCATCAAACCCTCAGTACCATTTGTCAATTATTTTATTTTTCCTTAGATCCATCTCCTATTTCTTTTTTTTTTACAGTTTTACTGAGATATAATTTACACGCCATAAAGTTCACCATTTAAAGTGTACAATTTAATGTTTTTTAGTACAGTATTCATAGAGTTGTGTGATCATTATCATAATGTAATTTCAGAACGTTCTCACCATCCCAAAAAGAAACTTTGTACCCTAGTCCAATCCACAACTGTCTTTTGTTTGGACTGTTACAGTAGCCTCCTATATGGTTTCCATTTCCACCCTTGCCCCTACAGTCTGTTCTTAACACAGAAACCAAAATTATCTATTTAAAAACCTACTTACTGAAAAGCCAGGCACAGTGGCTCACACCAGTGTGAGCCTCCCAGCACACTGGGAGGCTGAGGCGGGCGGATTACTTGAGGTCAGGAGTTCGAGACCAGCCTGGCCAATATGGCGAAACTCCATCTCTACTAAAATACAAAAATTAGCTGGGCATGGTAGCACATACCTGTAATCCCAGCTACTTAGGAAGGCTGAAGCGGGAGAATCGCTTGAACCCAGGGGGCGGAGGTTGCAGTCAACGGAGATCGTGCCACTGCACTCCAGCCTGGGCGATAGAGTGACACTCTGTCTCAAAAAAAAAAAAAAAAAAAAAAAAAATCTACTGAAGATTACAAGTGATCTGGCCTCTTTACTTCTCTGATCTCATCTCTTCCAAACTCTTCCGTTGGCTCAATTCATTCTAGCCACACTGGCCTTCTTTCTTTCTTTTCTTCCTTCCTTCTTTTCTTTCCTTCATTTATGTTCTTCCCTCCTTCCTTCCTTCCTTCTTTCTTTCATGGCATCTCACTCTGTTGCCCAGGCTAAAATGCAATGGCACAATCATAGCTCACTGCATCCTCAAACTCCTGGGCTCTAAGGATCCTCCTGCCTCAGCCTCCCAAGTATCTGGGACTACAGACATGAACTACCATGCCTGGCTAACCTTTTTATTTTCATGTGTTTATTTTTTTAATAGATGGCCAGGGGGTCGTCCTCACTATGTTTCCTGGGCTGGCCTTGAACTCCTGGCCTCAAGTGTGATCCTCCCACTTCAGCCTCCTGAGTCACTGGGATTACAGGTGTAAGCCTTTGTGCCTGGCTTCTTGCTATATCCTATTTCCTGCGTATGCCAAGCATGCTCCCACTCAGGGCCTTTGCCCTTGCTGTTCTCTCTCCTTCCAAGGAATTAAGATGATCAGTCAGATGGGGAAACCATCCTACAGTAGAGAAACGAAGTCTGATTTTTTTTCTCCTTTGAGGTTTTATACTGGGTAATTGACAGAGACTTTTGATTTTTACACATTTAGAGTTCCAGACTCTTAGATTCGAACTACTTATCATGTACCAGACACAATTGCTAAACACCAAATGCATTATATCAATTTAATTCCTGCAACAACCTAATGTGGTAAGTACTATTCCTTTTTTTTTTTTTTTTTTTTTTTTCTGGTTGAGTTGGAGTTTCACTTTTGTTGCCCAGGCTGGGGTGCAGTGGTATGATCTCAGCTCACTGCAACCTCTGCTTCCTCGGTTCAAGTGATTCTCCTGCCTCAGCTTCCCAAGTAGTTGAGGCTACAGGCGCCCACCACCATGCCCGACTAATTTTTGATTTTTGAATTTTTTTTTTTTTTTTTGAGACGGAGTTTCGCTCTTGTTACCCAGGCTGGAGTGCAATGGCGCGATCTCGGCTCACCGCAACCTCCGCCTCCTGAGTTCAGGCAATTCTCCTGCCTCAGCCTCCTGAGTAGCTGGGATTACAGGCACGCGCCACCATGCCCAGCTAATTTTTTGTATTTTTAGTAGAGACGGGGTTTCACCATGTTGAACAGGATGGTCTCGATCTCCTGACCTCGTGATCCACCCGCCTCGGCCTCCCGAAGTGCTGGGATTACAGGCGTGAGCCACCGCGCCCAGCAGGTTAATACTATTCCTACACCCAATTTACAGGTGAGAAAACAGGCTTATAAAGAGATTAAAACTTGCCCCCCTCAAAAAAAAAAAAAAAAAAAAAAAAAAACTTGCCCAAGAACATAGAGTATAAGTTACTGCAGAGCCTGTATTTTGAACCCAGGTCTGTCTAACTCCAAAGCTCAAGTTCATAATTATTTGACCTTGAAGCAAAATTTAAATAAATTTCATAAAAAATCCTTTCAGCCGGGCACGGTGGCTCACGCCTGTAATCCCAGCACTTTGGGAGGCTGAGGCTGGCGCATCGCGAAGTCAAGTGATCAAGACCATCCTGGCCAACATGGTGAAACCCTGTCTCTACTAAAAATACAAAAATTAGCTGGGCGTGGTGGCTTACGCCTGTAGTCCCAACTACTCGGAAGGCTGAGGCAGGAGAATTGCTTGAACCCAGGAGGCGGAGGTTGCAGTGAGCCGAGATCGCGACACTGCACTCCAGCCTCGGGCCTAGGGAGGGAGCGAGACTCTGTCTCAAAAAAAAAAAAAAAAAAAAAAAAAAAAAAAAAAATCCTTTCATCCTCAATTGTGTAAATCGTAAAACATTGCAAATAGAGAAACCCAGAACTTTGAGTCCCCCGTTATCTTTCAATTTCCCTGTAAGAATGCATCTGTTATTGGGTTTCTCAACCTCAGCTCTCCTGATGTTTTGGGCTGGATAATTATTTGCTTGTATTGGGGAGAGGAGATTGTACCGTGCATTGTAGGATGTTTAGCCGCATCCCTGGCCTCTGCCCCCTCCTCAAGTTGTGACAACCAGAAATATTTCTGGTTTCTCGTTGACACTGCCAAATGTTCCCAGTAGAGAACCACTGTGTTACATGATGATACTTTATTTCTGTCATCTAAGTATGTCCAAACCCTGGTGTTTGTGGAAAGGTGATTTATTTAAAATAAGTTTACTTAGAAGTTTATTTAAAATAAGTGTAAAAGAAGTTTATTTAAAATAAGTTTAAAAGAGGTTTATTTTAAGATAAGTCTACTCAGAAGTAAGCTGGTAGATAGAGTACAGCCCAGCATTAGTCAGCTGTATTAGTTTGCTGGGACTCTCATAACAAAGTACCATGTACTGAGTGGCTTAAACAACAGAAATTTATTTTCTCATTGTTATGGAGGCTGAAAGTCTGAAATCAAGCCTCAACAGGGTTGGCCTCTCTCCTGGGCTTATAGATGGCTACCTTCCTGTTCACGTAGTGTGCTCCCTCTATGCCTGAGACCTATTAAATAGTATCTTCTTGTAAGGACACCGGTCAGATAAGGGTCCACGCTAATGACCTCATTTCAATTTAATCACCTCTTTGAAGACCTTATGTCCAAATACAGTTACATTGAGTTACTGGGGATTAGAACGTGAACATACAAATTTGGGGGGGGGGGACACAATTCAGCCCATTAACATTGAGCTTAAGTCTTTTCTCCCTTGCCTCCCTTCCTTTCTGTGTGTATTGAACACCTATTATGTGTGACATTCAGCTAAGTAGGGGTAATGATAAGCAACAAACATGGTCTCTGCCTGGTAAGGTTTACAGTGAGGTAGGACAGACCGATATTTAGAGTAACAACAAGTGCCGGCCAGGCATGGTGCTTCACGCCTGTAATCCCAGCATTTTGGGAGGCTGAGGCGGGCAGATCACCTGAGGTCAGAAGTTGAAGACCAGCCTGGTCAAGATGGTGAAACCCCCGTCTCTACTAAAAATACAAAAATTAGTCGGGTGTGGTGATGGGCGCCTGTAATCCCAGCTACTCAGGAGGCTGAGGCAGGAGTATCGCTTGAACCTGGGAGGCAGAGGTTGCAGTGAGCCGAGATTGCACCACTGCACTCCAGCCTGAGCCACAGAGCGAGACTCCGTCTCAACAAAAAACCCACAGTGCCATGCAAATACTATGCTTTGGTAATGGATGACAGGAAAGCCTTGCGCTTCCCATCAGGCTCCCAACCCAACTGGGCGAATGCAAGGGCTGCGTTATGACCTAACTGGCTGGGCGTGGTGGCTCACGCCTGTAATCCCAGCACTTTGGGAGGCCAAGGCGGGCGCGAGTTGAGGTTACGAGTTCAAGACCAGCCTGGCTAACATGGCGAAACTAATACAAAAATTAGCCGGGCGTGGTGGCACATGCCTGTAATCCCAGCTACTCAGGAGGCTGAGGCAGGAGAATCGCTTGAGCCTGGGAGGCGGAGGTTGCAGTGAGCCGAGATCGTGCCACTGCGCTCCAGCCTGGGCGATAGAGCAAGACTCCGTCTTAATAAAAAAATAATTTAAAAAAAAAAAAAAAAAAAAAAAAAAACGGCCGGGCGCGGTGGCTCAAGCCTGTAATCCCAGCACTTTAGGAGGCCGAGGCAGGTGGATCAAGAGGTCTAGAAATCGAGACCATCCTGGTCAACATGGTGAAACCCCGTCTCTACTAAAAATACAAAAAATTAGCTGGGCATGGTGGTGCGTGCCTGTAATCCCATCTACTCGGGAGGCTGAGACAGGAGAATTGATTGAACCCAGGAGGCGGAGGTTGCCGTGAGCCGAGATCGCGCCATTGCACTCCAGCCTGGGTAACAAGAGCGAAACTCCGTCTCCAAAAAAAAAAAAAAAAAAAACTGAGCTAACCGTGAGGTTAATGAGTCAGCCACTTGTCAAATAGGGAGATGTGCGTTTGCTACAAAGCAGCGGAGGTCTGGCCTTAGCCAGCAGCAGGCGCCACCTCAAGCCGCCCTTCTCTATGACGCAAAGGTCCTCCCAATCCTTTCCTGGCTCCGCCTTTTCTCTGCTTGCAGCCCCGCCCCTTACATGCTCTCCGGCTGGGGGCGCACCCTCCAAGAACTCGCCTCTCTCGGCTCTAACAATGGCGGCGGAGAGGGAGGTCAGTCAGCCACGCCTGCGCCATAAAGCCTAGGGGCGGGCCCAGCCGGCGGTGGGAGGCGGGGAAAAGCGACGAAACCAGCAGCGACGCCATTTGCTGCTGCCGAGCGTGGACGCCGGCGGATCTGTTAAGACCTAGGTCGCGAGCCTCTCCCGCGCACGCTGCCTGTACTCCAGCACCTGCTTCATCCTGCGCGCTCTCTCGTGTCGCCCCTTGGAGCAGCAGCCGCCGCCGCCGCGACCGCCGCCACCCGGAAAGAAGTCAGAGACGCCGCGAGGTCGCTGCCACCGCCATGCCCAAGAATAAAGGTAATGCCGCCTGGACCCCCGGACCAAGGCTCTCCTCGGCAGGGTCTCCCAGGTCCTGTCCGTGGATTGCAGGTCACCCAGGCCGCAGTGACCTTTTTTCCTTCTCGCCCTGTCTGCCCGCGCCTGGGCGCCCCGCACGCGACTCTGAGCTCGGGAAAGGATCTGGGAAGTTAACTCCTGTTGCCCAGTTTGGCCACATTGGGGTGGAGCCGACGCCATTTTTGTAGGGCCTCCTGCGGGAGAATGTGGGCTTTTTCTCCTGTTTCGCGCCAGACTGACCTCGACTTGGTGGGGACGGTGGCGGGAACCCTTCCCGGGGCGGCCTGGGCTTAGTAGATAGGCCCTTTTGGCCTTCCCGGGCACGAAGGGTTAATCCCTGGAAGCCGTACTGAACTTTAAAAGAGTGATGCCTGCATTCGAGAGCACCAGGTACTCTTGCCTGGGTTTCTTTATGGACAGTTGTTCAGTATTGTTGAGGCTACTCGCTGTTCCTTGTGAACAGTGGGTGAAACCTTGATGCATTTCTTGAGGTCCATCTCTAGAGATTTACTCTCTCCATCCCTTTACAGGGCTTATTTTTGTTTGCAGAAGACTTGTTCCATATTTAGCCAAGTTTTTTGCTTTTGCTTCAGATCGTGCATATGTTGTGAAAATAAAGACCTTTAAGTTTCCTCCTTTCTGAGGCTAAGCCTTCACAAATGATCGGACTTGAGGATAACTTTATTTGGGATTTCCAAAACGAAAGGCCTAATCTAAAAAAAAAAAAAGGCAGAACACTCCTAAAGAAATTACTTTTAGAAATTTATATTGTTCCTGTCATTTTTAATAGCCTTATAATTTGTTGAAGAAAATTGTGCAAATAGATACAGGGAAACTACTGTATTTTCCTACAGGAGAGGAGCATATTTCATAGTCCATAAGTAGCCTTTGACTATTCATTCTTAGGAAACCCTCCCCTGACGCAGGCCTACTTCTGCTCTCTTTCCTACTTGACAGCTGGCTCTAGGGATTCTTACCTCATTTCCTCTTTGTAGCTGTCACTTATTACTTTATCCCTTAGGGTACTTGGTCGAGATTCTGTGCACAAGTTGGTGTAGTCCTCTCAGGGCACCTTGCTGCCTTTAGAGATCAAACTTGCAGGTCCTTTGTGTAGCAAGGATTTTCACTGCTCATGATTTCGGAAAAGATGGAATTAGAAACAAAAAATTTTTAATAATCCTTTATTCTCTCTGAGGTGGTAAGTGGATCACTGCCATCTTATTCTCACCTTTATTTCTAGTAATAAGATTTCCAATTCCCCCATTAAGCTGTAAACTCTAAAAGGCAGGAATAGTATCTGTCTTAATCACATTGGATGCTGACACTTGACACTTAGTAGATGCTCAATAAATATTTGTTGGTTTAAGTCATCTTGCTCCTGTCGACTCCACCCTTAGGTAAATAATAGGTTCTGCTTTGGTTCCAAGGGGATAGGACTTCTACATTAAATCACATCTAGTTCACTAGCCTCATATCTTGTTTAAGAAGGAGCCTCTCTGGGAATTTCTCTAAAACAACTCTGGTTTAAAGAATGTTGATGTCACTTTAATTTACACTCAGACCTAGGCTCATTCATTCAAAAGAGAATTTAAAGAACATCCCGTTACATGGCAATAAAATATACAGGAGAATGAACAGGGTATGCTTAATTCTGGTAAGTTAACAAGTACTGAATCTTTTCTTAAATAACATTTGAGGCATACAAAAAATATAACTAACATAGTGAACCTGGGAATCCAGTTCTCTGAATTTAAGAATTACAGTGCAGATTGAGGTAAAGTCCCTCTGTGTACCCCTCGCTAATCACCTTTTACTCTCTTTTTGGAGGTAATCACCAGGCTGTTTGATGTTTATCATTACTGTACTGTGTAAAACTAATCAATTCTTAGTTATCTTAACTTAGAGGAATGGTACTTTTCAAGACCTCTGAATTTTATGAGATGGAATTTACTAGTGTATAAATAAACTCATTTATTGTTCTATTTTTCTTCATTGGAAAATCCAGGAGCCCTGTGAAGATAATCTTGCTGTGGTTACACAAGTAAGGGTACAATTTGCCACATACTCTGTGTTGAATGACTTTTGCTTTGGATTGATTCATATCAGCTTATTCTACAAATTCTTAGAAACTCATCCTCAAATCAGGAAAAGGGGCATCCTTTGGCCCACTCATAAGCATTTAGGGTATAGTGCTCCCAGACTTTGAAGAAGTTACTGCATATGATTTTTAACTCATCACTCCATTAGGAATGTATGGACTATTCTTTTTTTTTGGAGACGGAGTTTCGCTCTTGTTACCCAGGCTGGAGTGCAATGGCGCGATCTCGGCTCACCGCAACCTCCGCCTCCTGGGTTCAAGCAATTCTCCTGCCTCAGCCTCCTGAGTAGCTGGGATTACAGGCACGTGCCACCATGCCCAGCTAATTTTTTGTATTTTTAGTAGAGACGGGGTTTCACCATGTTGACCAGGATGGTCTCGATCTCTTGACCTTGTGATCCACCCACCTCGGCCTCCCAAAGTGCTGGGATTACAGGCTTGAGCCACCGTGCCCGGCCTGTATGGACTATTCTTGATCAAGTCATTTGAAGAATTACTGAACTAGGGTATATTAACTCAATAAGCAGCAGGTATGATCTTGCCCTAAAGGAGCTTGCACTCTGTTTTGCAGATCTGGCATGATTAATGGCTTGATACTTTTCTCTTTCTAGGAAATTAGTTTCAGTGTTCTCTAAGAATGCCTCAGATACTGAATTCTAAGGACTCTAGGTGGTTCAGGAAATTATAGAGGCCCACCTAAAATAGCACAGAGCAATGTGAGACTGCCCCAGGAGAGAGTAAGTGGACTTGATTCAAGAAGTTAGATTGTCTTTGCAGTGGTCAGGTGCACATTTGTGATTCTGTTTGGGTTATGAACTTTTTGCTACTTCCAAGCTCTTCCCATGAGTCTCTTAGTATTATTAGCATGTACGGCCTTTTTCCTGCCTTTTGGAAATGGCTGCCAATGTGGTTTCGTTTCTCAAATTGGAGCAAAATGCTGTGGAGAGGTAACCTGATGTGGGGGATGGGGCAGAAAAACATTGTGACTCTCGACACCCCAGCTTACTGACTGTAATCATCAGTGAGCTGATGTACTCACTGAAGCTGAGTTACTTCTCTGGGCTTCAGGAACTCATGGGCAAACTGGGAATAAATAATTGTTATGACCTCATGGGGTGATTGTGACAAGTAAATGGGCAGAATTATTGCATAGTGGTTAAAAGCATGGTCACTGGGATCATATAATAGAAACAGGGATGTTGAGTAGGGACCAGCATTATAAAAGAAAGTAAATTGGATACCAAATGGATATTTTTTGTCTTTTAAGAGACAGTGTCTCACTGTGCTGCCCAGGCTGTCCTGGAACTCCTGGACTTGCTCAAGTGATCCTCCCACCTGGGCCTCCTGAGTAGCTGAGGCCCTAGGCATGTACCACTATACCCAGTGAAATTTCAGTATTTATGGTACTCTGCTACCAAAAGTTTGAAAACCACAGTTCTCTGTCCAAACACTGTCTTCACTTAATTTTGAAAATACCAGGTTCCTTGCCTAGGGCCTAGCTTTAGAAGGCACCCAAGATTTCCGCTTAGAAGAATATGTATAGAATTGCATTTTTTTTTTTTTTTTTGAGACGGAGTTTCGCTCTTGTTACCCAGGCTGGAGTGCAATGGCACGATCTCGGCTCACCGCAACCTCCGCCTCCTGGTCTCAGGCAATTCTCCTGCCTCAGCCTCCTAAGTATCCGGGATTACAGGCACGCGCCACCATGCCCAGCTAGTTTTATTGTATTTTTAGTAGAGACGGGGTTTCACCATGTTGACCAGGATGGTCTCGATTCTTTCGACCTCGTGATCCACCCGCCTCGGCCTCCCAAAGTGCTGGGATTACAGGCTTGAGCCACCGCGCCCGGCTAGAATTGCATTTTTATTTCAAAAGGATGCATGCTAAAGTGAAGGTTTTTAAAATATTTTTTAATGTAATATCTGCTATTTATGTTTATTTTATGACAGAAAAACTCTCAAAGGAAATTCCAAGAAGGGTAGGGAGGTAATAAATAATGTATTAATGTTGTGATTGGAGATTATAAATTTAATATGATTGAGTAGCCAAAATAGGTGAATTTTAAAATTTAAGTGATCTTTTAAAAAGTGGTGGGCCGGGCGCAGTGGCTCAAGCCTGTAATCCCAGCACTTTGGGAGGCCGAGGCGGGTGGATCACGAGGTCGAGAGATCGAGACCATCCTGGTCAACATGGTGAAACCCCGTCTCTACTAAAAATACAAAAAACTAGCTGGGCATGGTGGCGTGTGCCTGTAATCCCAGCTACTCAGGAGGCTGAGGCAGGAGAATTGCCTGAGCCCAGGAGGCGGAGGTTGCGGTGAGCCGAGATCGCGCCATTGCACTCCAGCCTGGGTAACAAGAGCGAAACTCTGTCTCAAAAAAAAAAAAAAAGTGGTTTTATAAGCCTTAACTTCATTTTATTTCATACTGTTTTACAGATAATTAATGTCATTTCCTCCCTTTTTTTTTTTTTAACCATCAGGTAAAGGAGGTAAAAATAGACGTAGAGGTAAGAATGAGAATGAATCTGAAAAAAGAGAACTGGTGTTCAAAGAAGATGGTCAGGGTGAGTGTTTTCATAAATTATGCTTTTTAAAGTAACATCCTTTCTTTTTAGCTGAGGACTTTACTTATTTTTTTTTCTGAGACAGGGGTCTTGCACTGTTGCCCAGGGTGAAGTGCAGTGGCACAATTACAGCTTACTGCAGCCTTGACCTCCTGGGCTGAAGTAGTCCTCCCATTTCAGCCTCTTATTTGGGACTAAAGGCACACATCACCACATCTGACTAATTTTTTTAAAAAAATTTTATAGAGATGAGGTCTTTATATGTTGCCCAGGCTGTTCTCGAACTCCTGGGCTCAAGTGATTCTCCCGCCATGGCCTCGCAAAGTGCTGGAAACTAAGAATGTGTCATACAGTTCAGAGGGAATTGAGCCTTCAAAGCTATGGTCAGCTCTTCTATGATTTAGTTGACAGTTCTATGATTAGCATTTTTGATAGTGAATGGTGCTGCATAATGTGTTGAGTAGGCCATGGACATTTGACGGATGAGCCTTAGGCCCTTATAGACCTCTCCGTTCTCCGGTGCCATTAGCATATACCTTCATAAACTACAATAAAATGAAACTGAACAGTTAACTGACTTTACTAGACTGAAGAATTTTGTAAGTGCCAGACCAAGATACATAGCACTAGTCAAATAAATCCTAACTGGATCGTTTGCCTTTTCCTGTTATTTTTATTTCGAGTCATTTCAAACCTACAGAAAAGTTGCAGTATTAGTACAACAAACCCCCTTAAATCCTTCATCTGTACACACATGTAAAGAAATATATATATATGTACATATATATATATGTAGGGTTTGTTGAGGACCATTTGAAGACATTAGAGACATCATGCTACTTTTCCCTTACTTGATCATGTGTCTCCTAAGAGCAAGTATATTTTCTTATATAACTGGAAGAGAATTATCACACTCAGGTAATTTGACATTGATATAATATTATCTAGTATGTACTCCAAATTCCTGTTTCCCCAGGTGTTCCAATAATTTCCAGTACTTTAGCTTTTAATAGAACTTTGGGTGGATTTATTATGCCACACATATAAACCACTAAAGATGAGATACGTTTTCTGGCTAAAAGTCCTTTTGTTTCTTAGCCTTACTCATCCTTGCCTCTAAAATAGCAGCTGACTTGACTTGGGCAGACACTGCTTTAATATTGCTTTTTTCCCTCACTTCGGAAGAAAGGCTGCCTTTGAGTTGACCAACCTTGTTAAGGTGGTAGGTGGGTGCCAGGCTCATTGTAGTCTGAGTAATTCACTTTCAGAAGTCCACCCCACTGTTGAGCCTTTCTAAGTGAAGTCTCTGTATATTTACAAATCAATGGGCTAGTCATAGTGTAATTCAACAAAGACAGTGAAGGTTAAGCTGTTTTTTGCCAAATGTACTAAAAATTATATGAGATTCGCAGCTAAAGGCACTGAGGGAAATAGCCAAAAGTGGAATAGTCAATCTACTTATTCAAAATGAGTGGATAATTAAAATATGCCTAATAGCAGAGACAGCATGTTATAGAACTAGCATTACAGAGTCTTGGTTCTTACTCTGTCATTAACTAACCCGATATTTATCACTCTGTCATGTTTGTTTATATTTTTCCTATATATATTTTATTCCCAACTGGTACAACTATAATCTCTTGTCAGTTTCCTGTGGACTTTAAGTTACTTTTATCAAAAGTTGAACAATATTTCATACCCTTTTCCTTTCTCCCCTTAGAGTATGCTCAGGTGATCAAAATGTTGGGAAATGGACGGCTAGAAGCAATGTGCTTCGATGGTGTAAAGAGGTTATGTCACATCAGAGGAAAATTGAGAAAAAAGGTAGGTGTGATTTGTTTTACTTTAATAATGAAGTTGGTTAAGGGAGGAAATGCCTCTACAGTTTTGTTTTCTTGGTGGTCGTGGGTTTTTTTTTGAGATGTAGTCTCGCTCTTGTCGCCCAGGCTGGAGTGCAATGGCACGATCTTGGCTCACTGCAACCTCTGCCTCCTGCGTTCAAGCGATTCTCCTGCCTCTGCCTCCCGAGTAGCTGGGATTACAGGCACCCACCACCACGTCCAGCTAATTTTTTGTATTTTTAGTAGAGATGGGGTTTCACAATGTTGGCCAGGCTGCTTTCGAACTCCTGACTCCAGATGATCCACTCACTTCAGCCTCCCGAAGTCCTGGGATTATAGGCGTGAGCCACCACGCCCAGCCACCTCTACAGTTTTTAACTCTCCATGGACTTCATTTTTGGAAATTCCCAAAAGACTTACCTAGGTAAACAATGATTTACCTCTAAGTCGAATAACAAGGTCTGTAATAGTAATCTATTACAGGTTCTAATGTTAAAGAATCATTTGTATCACTAATGTTGTATTCCTGCCCAAAATGGTTAACCTGAATTTGAATCATGAAGAAACAATCTATAAGTCCAAATTGAGAGACATTCTGCATAAACAAACAGCCCAGCTTTTTTTTCCTTGTCTTTTTTTGAGACATGGTCTTACTCTGTCACCCAGCCTATAGTGTAGTGGCACCATCTTGGTTCACTGTAGCCTCAACCTCCCTGGTTCAAGCACTCCTCCCACGTCAGCCTCCCATGTAGCGGGGACTACAGGCCTTTGCCACCATGCCTGGCTAATTTCTGTATTTTTTGTGGAGATGAGGTTTTTCTGTGTTGCTTAAGCTGGTCTAGAACTCCTGAGCTCAAGCAATCAGTCCTCCTTCGCCTCCCAAAGTGCTGGGATTACAGGCATGAGCCACTATACCTGGTTCAGCTCTTAATGAAATGTTACTGTCATGAAAGTTTTTTTTTTTTTTTTTTTTGAGATGGAATCTTTGTCACCCAGGCTGGAGTGCATTGGTGTGATCTCGGGTCACTGCTACCTCTGGGTTCAAGTGATTCTTTTTTTTTTTTTTTTTTTTTTTGAGACGGAGTTTCGCTCTTGTTACCCAGGCTGGAGTGCAATGGCGCAATCTCGGCTCACCGCAACCTCCGCCTCCTGGGTTCAGGCAATTCTCCTGCCTCAGCCTCCTGAGTAGCTGGGATTACAGGCACGCACCACCATGCCCAGCTAATTTTTTGTATTTTTAGTAGAGACGGGGTTTCACCATGTTGACCAGGATGGTCTCGATCTCTCGACCTCATGATCCACCCGCCTCGGCCTCCCAAAGTGCTGGGATTACAGGCTTGAGCCACCGTGCCCGGCTTTTTTTTTTTTTTAATAAGAAAAAGAATAAAGAAGAGGAGGAAAAAGAAAGAGGAAGAGGGAGAGAGGATGGGGTATTGCTTTATTGCCCGGGCTAGAATGCAATCTAAACATTGGTGTGATCTCGGGTCACTGCTATCTCCTGGGTTCAAGTGATTCTTTTTTTTTTTTTTTTTTTTAATAAGAAAAAGAATAAAGAAGAGGAAGAAAGAGAAAGAGGAAGAGGGAGAGAGGATGGGGTATTGCTTTATTGCCCGGGCTAGGATGCAATCTAAATATGGGTATACCTATAATTGTCCTATAATGGAGACATAAAAGAAAATGAGGGAAGAGAATAACAAACAAGGAGCCAACCAACATTTCGTTTAAACTTCTAAGTTGATATGATGTGGTACTGATAAGAGTGTATATTTTGTGTATTTAAAGTGGAGAGTTCTATAAATGTTAATTACATTTACTTGTTCCAGATCTGAGTTCAAGTCCTGGATATCGTTGTTAATTTTCTGTCTCATTGATCTGTCTAATATTAATGTTGAAGTCTCCCACTATTACTGTGTGGGAGTCTAAGTCTCTTTATTAGTCTTGTATGTCTGGGTATTCCTGTATTGGGTGCGTATATATTTAAGATCTTTAGCTCTTCTTGTTGTTGCATTGATCCTTTTATCATTATATAATGTCCTTCTTTGCTTCTTTTGATCTTTGTTGCTTTAACGACTATTTTATCAGAGGCAAAAATTGTAACTTCTGCTTTTTATTTATTTATTTTAGCTCTCTGGTTGGTAAATCTTTCTCCATCCCTTGTTTTGAGTCTTTGTGTATCCTTAAATGTGAGATGGGTCTGGATGCAGCATACTGATGGGTTTTAGTTTTTTATTCAAATTGGCTGTCTGTCTTTGGATTGGGGGATTTAATCGATTTAAATTTAGAATTAATAATGACATATGTGAGTTTAATACTGCCATTTAATATTAGCTGGCTATTTTGCCCATTCGTTGATGTAAATTCTTCATTGTATTGATGCTCTTTTTAGTATTTTTTAGAAAGGCTGATACTGTTTGTTCCTTTCTATGTGTAGTGGTTCTTTCAGAAGCTCTTGTAAAGCAGGTCTGGTGGTGATGAAATCTCTGAGTGCTTGTTTATTCAGAAAAAACTTTATTTTTCCTTCACTTATGAAGCTTAGTTTGGCTGGATGTGAAATTCTTGGTTGAAAGTTCTTTTCTTTAAGGATGTTGAATATTGGTCCCCACTCTCTTCTGGCTTGTAGGGTTTCTGCTGAGAGATCTGCTGTAAGTCTAAGAGGCTTCCCTTTGTGGGTAACCTGACCTTTCTCTCTGGCTGCCCTTAGTATTTTCTCCTTCATTTCAACCCTGGTGAATCTGACGATTATGTGCCTTGGAGTTGCTCTTCTTGAGGAATATCTTTGTGGTGTTCTCTGTATTACCTGGAGTTGAATATTATCCTGCCTTACTAGGTTGGGAAAATTTTCCTGAATAATATCCTGAAGCGTATTTTCCAGCTTGGATTCATTCTCTTCGTCACATTCAGGTACACCTATCAAGCGTAGATTAGGTCTTTTCACATAGTCCCATATTTCTTGGAGACTTTGCTCGTTCCTTTTTATCCTTTTTTCTCTAATCTTGTCTTCTTGTTTTATTTCACTGAGTTGGTCTTCGACCTCTGATATCCTTTCTTCTGCTTGATCAATTCGGCTGTTAAAACTTGTGCATACTTCACGTAGTTCTCGTATTGTGTTTTTCAGCTCCATCAATTCACTTATATTCCTCTCTAAATTGTGTATTCTTGTTAACATTTTGTCAAACCTTTTTTTAAAGTTCTTTGTTTCTTTAGATTGAGTTAGAACAAGTTCTTTTAATTCACAGAAGTTTCTCATTATCCACATTTTGAAGCCTGTTTCTGTAATTGGAACACACTCATTCTCCATCAAGCCTTGTTCCGTTGCTGATGAGGAACTGTGATCCCCTGCTAAGGGAGAGGCATTCTGATCGTGGGTATTCTCAGCCTTTTTTGGCTGTGTTCTTTCCTTTGTTATAAATTTATCCATCTGTGGTCTTTGTGTTTACCGTCTTTGTAATTGGGTTTCTGAGTGGACGTCCAACTTACTGATTCTCAGCACCGAAATCTGAGCAACCCACTGCGCCGACCAAATCAGCGGCGTTAAGATTGATGGTGCTTTTCTGACTCTGCACCAAGAACCAACGCTCCGAGGCACCGGCAAAACCGCCTCGCCGGTCACAAGAGTCGCGCTGGCGACCCGTGGGGCTCCTCCGCTGGGAATCTCCTGGTGGTTGAGCAACAAGAATTCATGTGAAGGTGTGGCGTCCTCTCATTCTTTGTGCTTTCACTGGGAGCTACAATCCCGAGCTGCTAGTGATCAGCCATCTTGGATCTCTCTCATTTTAAACTTAAATGAAAGTTTAAAAAAAAAAAAGGTCAGGTACTATTCTAGTTTCAAGGAGACCTGACAGTTAAATGTAGTAGGTGGCCCTTGTTAGGATTCTGGTTTAGGAATTGGAGATAAAGCTGTAAAGTGTACATTAAGAAAATCTGAATATGAATTATGTTGCATAAGCATTGTATTAATGTTGTATTTCCTGAATGTCATCATGAAAGGACTGCCTTGGAAAGTAATGATTAATTCACCATCACAGTAGTTTTTCGGGCAGATTTATTAATCAGGTTGACTAAAAGTCCTAACTCTTTTTGTGTTTTTTTTAATTTGGTAAGTTAATCCTTCTGTTCCCAAACTAAAATCTTTTTTTGAGACAGAGTCTCACTCTGTTGTGCAACCTCCACCTCCTGGGTTCAAGTGATTCTCATGCCTCAGCCTCCCGAGTTGTTGGGACTACAGGCATGCATCACCACATCCAGCTAATTTTTGTATTTTTAGTAGAGAAGTTTTACCATGCTGGCCAGGCTGATCTTGAACTCCTGACCTCAAGTGATCCACTCACCTCGGCCTCCCAAAGTGCTGGGATTACAGGCATGAGCCAGCGTGCCAGCCCAAACTAAAATCTCTTAATTTCTAAACTAATTGTTACTCTGGAATGTAACAATATAAACTAATTGTTACTCTGGAATATTTTAAATATGACGGACAATTACTTTTCTTTTGTAGGTTTGGATAAATACCTCCGACATAATATTGGTTGGTCTCCGAGACTACCAGGTAAAAATTACATGTAAATTTTTCGTTTTTTACTGGCTTGAATTTGATGAGCCATTTGTTAGAGCCAGTTATGTTTTAGGCATTGTGATAGATATCCCAGGGATTATGTTTCAATCAAAATGTGGGAGGCATTATTTTAGGGCATACAGCTGGACGAGGTAAGTGCCCATCCCACAAAAGGCTCATATCCTGGTAGTGGAGAGAATGAAGACAAGCACACAAGTAATTACAATACACATCACGACATAGGTATGTGCTATAAATCTAGATGAGCACTTGGGAAAGAAAGAAAATGATGATTGCCTTTCATGATCTTAACCCTTGACTCTGTAGACTCATTGTGGGTCTGTGAGATCCATTCGACTTCCACCTGTTAGAACTCATCCCTGTGTGATAATATCTCTATTTGTACAACCTTGATCATACTTTGATTTTTTTTTTAAATCAAAGTATGATCAAGAATAAAGAAATTGAATAAAGAACTTAAATCTTCAAAATTGAATAAAGAATTTAAATCTTCACTTGATACTATTGTTTCTCAACCGTGGGCAATTATGCCCTCCAGGGGACATTGGCAGTGTCTGGAGACTTTTCTGGTTTTGTCACAACTGGGGGATGGGTGCAGTGCTGCTAGCATGTAGTAGATAGAGGCTGGGGTGATGCTAAACATCCTGCAGAGCACAGGACAGCATCCCTTAATAGAGAACGGTCTACCTCACAATAATCCCTGGCGCTGAGGTGAGAAAACCTGCTTTAAATTCATACCATTTTAATGTCCATTTTTTTCTTTTGATCTTAACAATAACCCCAGAAGTAGGAAGAATAAGTAATTCCTTGTTTGATAGATAAGGACACCAAGGTTTTGAAATGAGTAACATTCTGACCATAAAGTGACAGCCAGGACGAGTACTTCTGATTTGAATTTTTTTGTGATCCTGCTTTGCCCCTCCCACTTACAGGGTGGTCTGTGGCTCGATAGCATCACTGTCTTCTGGAAGCTTGTTACCAATGCAGGTTCTTTGACTCTTCATTCAGAACATGTATTTTAATAAGATCTCCATGGGCTTCTATACACTTGACATTTTAAGAAGTACTGGTCTGAATCACAGTATCCTTGAAGTTGAAGCAATCAATTTTCTCCCTTAACTGAGTTAAATTCTTTTAAAACAGGGAAGTAGAAACATTCTAAGGCAGTATTTCTCAATGGGACGTTTGCATCAGAAATACCTAAAGAATTTCTCACAATATTAATTCTTGGGCTTCACTTCTAATCTATCTTCAGAAGATATAAAAACTCTACAGGAGATTTTGATTGATACATAGCCAAAGAAGCACAGATAATATGGAAAGGTATAATTTCCTTAGGTCATTATACCAGTCTTAGTTCAGTCTCAATTTTGGAATTGCAGTGTTTGATCACCCTGAAAATTACCGTCCAAGGGAACTTTTGTATTTCAAAAGACTTCTAATCAAAGGGTTATATTAAATAATCTAAAATATGCAGTCTGCACAGTTCTGCTCTTATTAAAGTGAGGTCCTCAAATATATTTCCTCAGCTTCTTAGTCATCATTCCGTCATGCATGTAAGCTTCTCCCTGGGTTAAACCCAAGTATATTTTTCAGAGGGTAAGAGAAAGCTTTAAAATTTAAAAGGAGAAAGATTTATAATAAAATGGTGAGATTTGATTGTTTATTCAATATGAGAATTTATGAAATAACGTGTTTCATTATGATCAGTTTTTAAAGTTATTATCTCTATTCAAGGATAACAAAGCTGATGTAATTTTAAAATACAATGCAGACGAAGCTAGAAGTCTGAAGGCATATGGCGAGCTTCCAGAGCATGGTAATGTCTGGGTTATTATATTAACTTGTTATATGGTATTTAGGTTATCTGTTGGTGTTTAGGTGAAGGAACTGTGGATTTTGCATATTTACTTTAGTGCTTATGTTTTGTTTTTTTTTTTTTTTGAGACGGAGTTTCGCTCTTGTTACCCAGGCTGGAGTGCAATGGCACGATCTCGGCTCACCGCAACCTCCGCCTCCTGGGTTCAGGCAATTCTCCTGCCTCAACCTCCTGAGTAGCTGAGATTACAGGCACGCACCACCATGCCCAGCTAATTTTTTGTATTTTAAGTAGAGACGGGGTTTCACCGTGTTGACCAGGATGGTCTCGATCTCCTGACCTCGTGATCCACCCGCCTCAGCCTCCCAAAGTGCTGGGATTACAGGCTTGAGCCACCGCGCCCGGCTAGTGCTTATGTTTTTAGTTTTAAGTATGCCTGCCTGTGCTTCATAATGCTAGATACTGTAAGAAAAAAATTACTGGAATTCTGTTTCTAATAAATATGGTGAGGAGTTATGCTCTGTAAGCTTTGGACTTCCACATAATGTCACCTAAAGGAATAATTTTGTTACGGTATCTATTTTAAAATTTCTTCCTCAAGAGATTGTTAGTGCTCATATGAGTTAAACATGAAGTGCAAGTCAGCCAGGCGTCATGGCACATGCCTGTAGTGTCAGCCAGTTGGGAGGCTGAGGCAGGAGAACTGCTTAAGTCCAAGAGTTGGAGGATGCAGCGACCTATGATCATGCCACTGTTCTCAAGCCTGAGTGACAAAGTGAGACCTTGTCTCAAAAAAGTTTTAAAAAACACAAAAAACATGAAGCAAGGGCACATAATTAGGTACCATTACTGATTTTTGTTTATTTGTTTGCTTTGAAATGGAGTCTCATTCTGTTGCCCAGGCTGGAGTGCGGTGGCACAATCTTGGCTCACTGCAACCTCTGGCTCCCAGGTTGAAGCGGTTCTCCTGCCTCAGCTTCCCGAGTAGCTGGGATTACAGGCATGCGCCACCATGCCCAGCTAATTTTTCTGTTTTTAACAGAAACAACATGGGGTTTCACGGTGCTGGCCAGGCTGGTCTCCAACTCCTGACCCTCAGGTGATCCAGCCACCTTGGCCTCCCAAAGTGCTGGGATTACAGGCATGAGCCACCATGCCCAGCCTCGTTACTACTTTTTATTAAAAAGTTGTATTTCCATTTATCCTTGTGTAATAGTATCCCATAGGATTTTTTTTTAAAGCAACATTATTGGTTTTCACTCCTCCAAATACAAAAGTAATGAATTCTTCATGCAGAAAACATAAAAAGAAGACCCTTAAAACCTCATCAGAGGAAATATACTTGACATAATATATGGTAGACCTGCATTTTTACTTGGCAGTTACTATTTTTAGCTCTGTTGCATCTGATTATGTAAAAACATTATTATGAAATAACCTAATTTTACTTAAGCATGAAAGTCCTGCTGAAATTACGTGGCATTTCTGATCTAAGAAATGTTAATATATCTAGGAATAGGACTACCGCTTCCTGATTCATTTTCATTGCTTAGGGATAATCATGATTGGACCAGATCTTTCTGATTGATGAGTCCGTTTGATGATTAGTGAACCAGCTCTTCTTATCTCAAGAAAACACATTGTTGCCATGTGCTCAAACCTATTAAGAAGTATACCTGGAAATTATAATAGCTTCAGAATTAATGTAATTAGAGCCTGCCTTACTAAAATAACTTTGCAAACGAAAGAAAATGGTAGCACAAATACTCCCCATCTTGACATAGCAGTGACACTACAGGGAATTTTGTTTTGTGAAATACTCTTTATAGTAATTGTGTTACATAAAAGTTAGGAATGCTTTTGTTATGATGAAGCTTTGATTAAACTACAGTGCTGACTTAATGTATTTCTTATTGTGTCCTTAGCTAAAATCAATGAAACTGATACATTTGGTCCGGGAGATGATGATGAAATTCAATTTGATGACATTGGAGATGATGATGAAGACATTGATGACGTAAGTAAATGTGCCTTGCATTTTCCAATTTTTGTTGCTATCCATGGAGAAATCAGCTTTCCCCTAACATCCATTAATTTTAAGAACATGGGACGTTTAAATAATGGTATATTTTGAGAATTGTCTGAATTAAATAGTATTATTTAGACGACAGCTAGTCAAACTGTTTATATTTTGAGAATTCTTAAAACCCTTTTCAATTTGTCTTCCTAAAAAGATCAGTGTTGGGCCGGGCGCGGTGGCTCAAGCCTGTAATCCCAGCACTTTGGGAGGTCGAGGCGGGTGGATCATGAGGTCAAGAGATTGAGACCAGCCTGGTCAACATGGTGAAACCCCGTCTCTACTAAAAATACCAAAAAATTAGCTGGGCATGGTGGCACATGCCTGTAATCTCAGCTACTCAGGAAGCTGAGGCAGGAGAATTGCCTGAACCCAGGAGGCGGAGGTTGCGGTGAGCCGAGATCGCGCCATTGCACTCCAGCCTGGGTAACAAGAGTGAAACTCCGTCTCAAAAAAAAAAAAAAAAAAAAAAAAAGATCAGTGTTTACACTGGCAATATTAACACCAGCCGCTCTAATCATAACTTGTTTAATTAAGAGTCTCTAAAGAGATAGCCAATAGGAAATTTAGTTAACAGTTGAAAAATAGAAGATCTTTTCAAAGGAACATGCCTTTTTTATTGAAATATTAGTATGTTGAAAGAGACTTGTTTGAACCAGCTTGATATGAAGCATTGGAATTAAAATATACACTGAAAGCCTTGACAAAATGGAGGCCTGTTGCCAATTGTGGTATTTTTTAGCTGTTGGGTGTGTACTGTTGGCAAACTTTTGGCTTGCAGTTGGTATGTTTATTTTGAGGAAAATGTCCTGTCTTTCCTAATAATAAAGTAGTAATGCCCATAGGAGTAAATGCTTTACTGCACTTCTGCTGTTACTGCATTTGAATGAAATTCAGACTTAAGTCTTTTGGCAGTGTGAGTTTATTTAGCGATTTGGGTGTTACTCTTAAATCTGTTTTGGGCTCTTCTTTTGAAACCTCTTTACCTAAAATGTAGTTCAGAAACCACCTGTGTATTTAAATCCAAAAATAATAAGCCAGATGTGGTGGTATGCTCCTGTAGTCCCAGTTGCTCAGGAGGCTGATGGGGGAGGATCACTTGAGCCCAGGAGTTCAAGACCAGCCTGGGCAACACAGCCAGACCTTGTCTCTAAATAAATAACATAATAACATTAAATTTGGCTGGGCGCGGTGGCTCAAGCCTGTAATCCCAGCACTTTGGGAGGCCGAGGCGGGTGGATCACGAGGTCAAGAGATCAAGACCATCCTGGTCAACAAGGTGAAACCCCATCTCTACTAAAAATACAAAAAAATTAGCTGGGCATGGTGGCTCGTGCCTGTAATCCCAGCTACTCAGGAGGCTGAGGCAGGAGAATTGCCTGAACCCAGGAGGCGGAGGTTGCGGTGAGCTGAGATCGCGCCATTGCACTCCAGCCTGGGTAACAAGAGTGAAACTCCGTCTCAAAAAAACAAAAAAAAAACAAACAAACAAAAAAAAAAACATTAAATTTGATGCAAAAATCGAATTTCAGAATACCAAGCAAGAGCAGTTCCTGACCAAGAATACTCACACTTTGAGTTAAATCACTAATGTTATAGACATTTTAACACATATGCAAAAATAGGAAGTGAGAAATAAAACATTGTTCTGTTATTTTCTTAATTGGAGATCCTGAGCCAAGAGGAGTCTTGTGACTAAACTGTTGCTAATATTTTGACAATAGAATTAACAATTGCATTCTTTGGTAAGAACTTGCAGCTGACACTTGGATTAAGTGCCACCCCAAACATTTTGACAACTGGGCAGGAGTAGAAGGCCTTTTTAAAAAAATAATAATAGGCCGGGTGCGGTGGCTCAAGCCTGTAATCCCAGCACTTTGGGAGGCCGAGGCGGGTGGATCACAAGGTCGAGAGATCGAGACCATCCTGATCAACATGGTGAAACCCCGTCTCTACTAAAAATACAAAAAAACTAGCTGGGCGTGGTGGCGCATGCCTGTAATCCCAGCTACTTAGGAGGCTGAGGCAGGAGAATTGCCTGAGCCCAGGAGGCGGAGGTTGCGGTGAGCCGAGACCACGCCATTGCACTCCAGCCTGGGTAACAAGAGCGAAACTCCATCTCAAAAAATAAATAAATAAATAAATAATAATAATAATAATAATAAGGAACCTAATCAGAGGACATACATGAATATGAAGCCGCATGCACCAAGATAATGGGTTGAGAATCTAGGCAGGGTCAAGATTTTCTCAGTAAAAATTTCTGGATCTGGGCCAACAACTCCTCAGATCTGGACCCGGCTGGCTGGAAAAGAGATGGTAAAGACAGTGGTTATTAAAGGGGTTCTCTTGAACATTTTGTAAGAATTTGCTCTGTCACCTTAGAACCCTACTTCTTTAAGACATTTCTCCATGTGGTTTATAGATGTTCTAACTATAACCAGATTGACTCAGGAATTAGGTCAGTATCACCCCGATGTCTGCTCCCATCGAGATATAAAAATCTCAAATTACTAGCATTAAAGGAAAGGAAGGAGACAGTAAACTTTATTAGGAATATTTTGCATTACATATAATAGTATAAAGGAGATCATAATGATTTACTTCTAGCAGGCCAGAATTATAGAAATTTCTTCTTCAAACTGGATTTGTTTCTCAGATAGCATAAGGAGGTGAAAATCTCTTATATATGGAGTAGACTATTGGAATGTAAGTATTCTTTTTCCTTTCATTGATATTCTTTTTTCCCTTCCAGATCTAAAATGAACTCAAGATTTTACATTCCATCTTTTCTGAAGATTGTCCAACAATTTGGATTTTGGCCATGACAAAGAAGATTAAAATTTCATTAGCATGAATACAGTTTGTTAAAACAGACTGATTTGTTCCTAAGGTATTTTTATTTCTTTTAAAACTGGTAATGCTGAATTATCTTAAGTGAGATGTTAAGCCCACTTTGCTCTTTTAATATAGTGGAGCTTATGGGTAGAAGACCACGTCTACTATTTAAAAATAAAAAATAAAAAAATAGATTGCTGCTTTTCCTACCACTTCCAATAAGAAAATGGATGTTTTAAATAAATAATTTGCCTTGTCCTCATTATGAAATATGATTAAGCCTGGCCTCTTGATTGTATAGAGTCATTGTGTATATTCCAATTACCTAGGTATTCCCTTAAGATTTTGTTACAATTTGAGGGAGGCAGAAATCTGAATTTGAAGTAAAAAATAAGTCTTGTCATATTTAAGTAGCCTGTGGCTATTTTTATACTGATTTTGATATCATGTGTTCTTTTCATAATCGTATTTTGCCACCATAATCATATCAAAAAAAATGCATTTCCAAAATGCAGTTTTCAGAACTTGGGTTTTAATAGCAATTTTGAATTTGTAAGCTTAGCAGTTACAGAAATTGAACACTAGGTGGCACTCAGTTATCTAAACCTGTGAAAGTACTGATAAAATTGTTTACTTTTCTTTTACGATGTGTAAGAAATAACCCAAACATGAAAAGATTGTTTTGATCATATGCACGTATGTAGAATATTTTTACAGAGCGGAAAGATTGTTAAAAGTGTGATTTTTATTTTCAGAAGTCATATACATGTAAGCTACAATTTTGAGTGCTTTATAAACACTTCAGATATATAAATGAAATTTTAATTTCATAACAACTTGTAAAAATAAAAAAATTTGTTGAAAACTCTTTTTCAACATATCCCTAAGCTAGGGGAAGAGGAGGGAATAACAACTCAATGAAAAAATGGTCTCCAATTTCTGAATGGAAAAGCTACAGCTGAGAAATAAAATAAAATGTCATGGTGCAGAATATGTTATACCCTTATTTTTATTATGTGAACAGTTTTTGTTTTTTGTTTTTGTTTTTTGCTTGTATTGGGAACTGGGTTTACTGGTAACTTCCTTATTTCGTTTTTATTTATCAACTATAATAAAATGAAACTAGGGCTGAGCTAGTTAGCCCTTACTAACCAAACTGAAATCATATGCAACATTAAAAGAAGAGTCCATCATGTAGCTTGTGGCACTTTCATTCTATTAGTCCCCAGGGAACTTTTCAGTGATGAAAAGTAATACACAGGGGAATACCTTCACATGGCTTCAAAAGGAAAACAAGCAAATCTTCTCTAATGTACTCTTACTATAATTTCCCAACTACAAACTCTGGATTCAAAAATCTGAGGTACTATAAAACATTAAGTTGAAGAATAGAAATTAAGAGTGCATATTCATGGTTTATATTTCCTATTCTATGGAGTTCCTGAACACATCTAGATAGAATGCATCTGAGACTAAGGGCTGGTTTTTAATCCCTGTGAGAAACCAACCTTGAAGAATTAACAGTTGTCTCCATCCATATTCTAAACCTCCTAAGATATTTAGGTTTCTGTATATAAAAGTGTTTTTGCTAAGTTTACAGTATGTATAGATCCTGTCATATTATTTTACTAAGAATGTTTGAACTTGGCATCATATGTGAATATAGTTCCTGGTAGGAATAGCACAGCTCAAACATTAATTTTTCTATTTACCTCCTTTAACACATGTGGTTTGTCTGAAGAGTTTCTAAAAATTCAGCTATAACCCCTGTTCATGTATTTGCTGGTGATTGTTCTTGCCAAGGTAGTAACAGCCCAATTGGGCTGTTACATCCTAGGAAATCTCGAATCATAATGATTAAAATAGTTGGGGTAAAGTTGTAGCTTATATGCAGTACTACTTGGAGGAATCCTTTCGCTAATTTGTATTTAATGTGGAAGTTGTATCGTTTCATTGACGTAATCATAAATAATGGAAGTGGTCTTTAAGAAGTTTTATTTTTCTTTCTTTCTTTCTTTTTTTTTTTTTTTGCTTATACTCTGATTCCTGTAATACAATGCTATAAGCTATGCACAGAAAGAAAATAAAATGTTTAAAATCCAAGAAAATGGTTCTTACTGCTAAGAGGGCATAATAGTTATTACTAATGATTTTGCTGGGGTTGCATTTTTGATGCAATGTTTATTCCACTTGCAGTTAGAATATGAATATGTTTTATCAATAATGAGGCTAAATAACCAAACATTTGTGTTAAAAAATAAGCCAAGATTTCATTGTTTGACTGTTGAATATTTCTTAAGCATCTAGCCCCTAAAGAGACTGCTTCTTATGGAGCCTGTAAACTATGTATGATGGAAATTGTTGTATTTTATTGAGGAATGGCCATTGGTTTACTCACCACATCTGTGGAATCATGGCTATAAATGTTTGCTTACAAACTCTTTGTGACTTGTAATTTTACTTAATCTCATCTAATGTAAATATTAGATTATGATGTTCAGTAATATCTTCCATAGGTATAAACTACTGTCATTATTGACTTAAGAGTAATCAAATAGGTAAAAAGCACGTTTTGAGTAAAATAGCTAGATTTATATTTTATTTGTGTTGTGTACAGACTTAACAACAACCAGTATTGACTGGATTGACAGTTAAAGTATCAGAATGAAAGCAAGGTTTTTTTAATGTTACCTGACTGTCATAAAAATGAAAATTATTTGTATTGGTATGAAATGCTTATCTTTATGCTGCTTAGTAAGGGTAAGTTTTATTTGTACTGTTTGGACTCCCATGAACTTTTGCATACTGCTTTGTGTTTTTGGTTTACCCTCAACTATCCTCCCTTTTTATCTTTGCTTCATTTCTTCCTATTCAGAAAGAGCAAAATGAAAAGACACTAGACCCTCAGGTATAGAATTAGAACTGAGCAATTTGGAGACTGTGTTGGACTTTGTCCTCTCTTAGCCCACCCTCCCAGCCCTGCAAGTTGCTAGGTACTTGTGAGGCAATGTACCAGAGAGGGAAGAGCATGGATCCTGGGGTCAAAGGGCCTGTGTCCCACCCTTACTCAGCCCTCTACCTGCAGGTGACCACTGGCACATTCTCCAGCTCGTCTCAGCTTCAGGTTCTTCACCTATAAGATGGGGATGATGGAAACAGTACCTGTCATGCAGAATTGTTAGGAGGATTGATAATTTAGATGTTCATACTTGTAATGTACTTAGAGCAGTCTGCCTCTTTTCACTTGATACCCAGTACTGTGTAAGATAGAAGATGCATGTCTTCTATATTCTGTATTTCCCATTTCTTTTGTGTATACTCTTTGATTCTTACAATAGAAGGAACACGTAGAATGTATATTTGTATATTCATGTCAACACAGTATTTAAAATTGCTACCAACCTCATTTAATTTGGCATAAGACCAACAGATGAAGTCTCTCGTTTGCTTGAAGATACTTTACAAAATATCAACTGCTCTGTATTTCTTTAGAGAAAGATTATAGTTAATAATATTGATACCTCTGATAATATTTTATTCTTAAGTCTTTAGTGAGTCCTTTTACTATAGATTTCATGACAACTAATGAGTACTAACTGATTTAGAGGTTTCCTTTCCCATCATACAGAATGATGTAAAGAAATCAGATGCAAACTATTGCAATTAGAAAATAAAATATGAAACAACTTCCAACAATGTATAGAATTGATTCTTTTTGAACTTTATAACACTTTTAGCTATTCATGTGATTCTTTTCAAAAATGTTGCTATTTTTAAAATTTAATTGTGATATATAAGGAAAAGGTATACCTTGTTTTTGTCTGCTTTTGTTTGTTTGATCCGAATGAGTCGATTTAGCCATACTCCAAATATGGGGTTGCGTTTTCTCAGCAAGTGAATTTGTCACAAATCTGTGCTGAAGACGACATTTTCTAATGGTAAGTCAGTTCTGCAGGGTGATTTCAGATTGCCAGTCACATTCAACACACCTTATATGATTCAAAGACCAATAGGTGAAGTAAATACACTTCTGGCCAACTTGCCCACTTTTAAAAGGCCAGTCTGTACTGCCATTCCAATTCATGTTTTGTTCAGTTCACAACGATATTGGCAGGTAAGAAAGTAGGGGATGAGTGTGGTGGCTCACGCCTATGATCCCAGTACTTTGGGAGGCAAAGGTAGGTGGATCACCTGAGGTCAGGAGTTCAAGAACAGCCTGACCAATATGGTAAAACCTCGTCTCTACTAAAAATACAGAAATTAACTGGGCGTGGTGGCGCACACCTGTAGTCTCCAGCTACTTGGGAATTGCTTGACACCAGGAGGGGGAGGTTGTAGTGAACCAAGAGCCAAGATCGCACCACTGCACTCCAGCCTGGGTGACAGAGCAAGACTCCATCTCAAAAAAAGTAGGGACAAAATCTGAGTCAAGTCGCATTTCCAATTTCTATGCTGTCAGATACAAAATGAGTTGGACTTGGCAAATGTGATAATATTTAATACATATTATTTTTAAACTGTCTCAGGAATCTAACAATAATGGACATGTACCACCACTCCTGGCTAGTTTTTGTATTTTTAGTAGAGATGGAGTTTCACCATATTGGCCTGGCTGGTCTTGAACTCCTGATCTCAAGTGAGCCACCGTACCTGGTGGGAAATTTTCTTAGTTTAATAAAGGTTACCTACCAAAGTCAAACATAGAAATAAACTTGCAATTAAAAAAAGGTATTTGGGGCCAGATGCGGTGGCTCACACCTGAAATCCCAGCACTTTGGGTTGCCAAGGATCACCTGAGGTCAGGAGTTCGTGACCAGCCTGACCAACATGGAAGAACCGTCTCTACTAAAAATACAAAATTAGCCTGGCATGGTGGCACATGCCTGTAATCCCAGGTATTCAGGAGGCTGAGGCAGGAGAATCACGTGAACCTGGGAGGCAGAAGTTGCCGTGAGCCAAGATTGCCCATTGCACTCCAGCCTGGGTGGCAAGAGTGAAACTCATTCTCAAGAAAAAAGGTTTTTGGCTCAGCATAGTGTCTCACAGCTATATATGCAGGAGTTGGAGACCAACCTGGACAAATAGTGAGACCTCATCCCTAAAAAATAAAACATTCGGGCACGGTAGTGCACACCTGTAGTCCCCACTACTTGGGAGGCTGAGGTTGGAGGATTGCTTGAGCCAAGGAGGTTAACGCCGTAGTGAGTGGTGATACGATATCACTGCATTCACCCTGGGCAACAGAGCAAGACCCTGTTCCAGAAAAAAAAAAAGGCCGGGCGCGGTGGCTCACACCTGTAATCCCAGCACTTTGGGAGATGGAGGCAGGCAGATCACTTGAGGTCGGGAATTTGAAACCAGCCTGGCCAACATGGTGAAACCCTGTCTCCACTAAAAATACAAAAATTAGCCAGGTGTGGTGCACAGGCATGTAATCCCAGCTACTTGGGAAGCTGAGGCAGGAGAACCGCTTCAACCTGGGAGGTAGAGATTGCAGTGAGCTGAGATTACGCCACTGCACTCCAGCCTGGGCAACACAGTGAGACTGTCTCAAAAACAAAACAAAAAATGTCTCTGACAAGGCAATAAAAGTTTATTAATCTAATGAAATTAATCTCATACACTGGTACATCTGAACCTTTGAGTACGCATCTTTTTAATATGTGACAAAGTGGAGAGTACTACATAAAGCACTTCTGCATACCAATGTGTAGCAGTTGTCTCAAGGTTAGGCATTTGCAATAATTTGTATTGCAAACAACTGGACACTTTAGTGGAATATCATTTTTACTTGAAAGAGAAACTGATAAGCTGATATTTCAAACTTGGGTTTGTGTTCAACATTTTGGTAGAAATGAATAAAATTAGCCTGTCATTTAAAGGGAAACAAGTAACCATATTTGTTGGTGGTAATACAATTTGAGCTTTGAAGAGCGAAAAAAGCTTTAGAAAACTGGTATCTGCTACTATTAGCTTGACAACTTCACTAAAGTAAGAACTTTTCTGAAGAGATCAGTGATACTAATGAATGTGGCATATTAAAATTGTAGAATGAAAAGGGTCAACATATGGAAGATCATACGTCTGTCAGTTTTTTCCAAGTTTTCCAGGTGGGTGAAGTTAAAAAGTTCATTCATAGTTCAAAATAGACCAATGAATTTTAATGTAGTAGTATGAAACGTTTGTTGATTTGGTGTTAGATTCCACAGTGCAACTAACTTAGGAAATCACCTCTTGTTAAGATTGTGTGTAGTGTCAAAGAACATACACAATTATCCGAAAAGCCTATGAAAATCTTCCTTTTCCGGCCGGGCGCGGTGGCTCAAGCCTGTAATCCCAGCACTTTGGGAGGCCGAGGCGGGTGGATCACGAGGTCGAAAGATCGAGACCATCCTGGTCAACATGGTGAAACCCCGTCTCTACTAAAAATACAATAAAACTAGCTGGGCATGGTGGCGCGTGCCTGTAATCCCGGATACTTAGGAGGCTGAGGCAGGAGAATTGCCTGAGACCAGGAGGCGGAGGTTGCGGTGAGCCGAGATCGTGCCATTGCACTCCAGCCTGGGTAACAAGAGCGAAACTCCGTCTCAAAAAAAAAAAAAAAAAAAAAAAAAAAGAAAATCTTCCTTTTCCAACTATGTACCTCTGAGGCCAGATTTTCTTCAAATGCTTTAACCAAAACTTACTAGGGCACATTGAATACAAAAGCAGATATGAGACTGTCGTCTATTAAGCCGGTCAAGATTTGCAAAAATGTGCAACAATGTCATCTCATTTTTTTGTTTCTGTTACTCCTCATTAAGTGTTTATGCTAATGCATTGATTTTATTCTTGAATTAACATTTTTAAAAAATCTATTGATACAGTCAGCTGTATTAACTGACACAACTTGCAAGCTTGCCATTTCAAGGAAAATTGACGGTGTTTATTGCCAGTGCTACATTTGTACTTTCAAGTAAAAATTAGAGTTTTAGAAATTAGATCTACCAACATTAACCAGATAAAAGAGCTCTGTGATTCTCCATTTTTAAGTATAAAATAGGGGTTGGCAAACCCCTTTCTATAAAGGGCCAGATAGTAAATACCTTGGGCTTTTCAGGCCATCTGATCTGTTAGAACTACTCAGTTCTGACATTGTAGTGCAAAAACAGCCACAGATGTCACTCACAAATGAGTGTGGCTATATTCCAATAAAACGTTATTAACAGAAATAGGTAGTGGGCTGCATTTGACCTATGCACTGTAGTTTGT